ATTTCCTTCACCTGCTCCCCCCACCAACCAATTTCTGCAGCTCTGCAACTGCATCCCTGCCCATCCTCACCCTTCTGTCCCCAACCCTCACCTCCTTGTACCCTCACTTTTTTTTTCCAAATTAAAAAAAAATTGGAGAAGAAAAAAAGAAATTTAAGCAAGACAATAAATATAACCAGAGTAATAAGGCAATTCATAGACAGACAATATTGCAAAGGGAAAGTCTCTCATGTTATAATTTGCATATTAAAGAAATAATTTTCATTTAAAAGAATACAAATTTACAATAATATTTATACAGTACAACTGTAATATATTTATTATAAAAAACGTCAATACAAATGAATTTGAATATTGTCGCAAAGTTTGCACAAATAAACCAAAACAAAGCTACTGTTTTTGAGTCAAATCTGATTCAGAGTGATCTTACCTTGGGTTTCTAAAGTCCTACATAGCTGCTGGAAGATTTGAACCACCCAAAATATCACACACTGTGGCATCAGTTTTACAGATACATATAATAGATAGAAAGCTTAATTGATTGTTTCATTGAATAAAATACATGATGACTGTGTTTGAGAGCAACCAAGTCTTAATTTTACAGAAAATTGCTTCTCTGTTATTCTGTCAGTTTAAGTAATGGTTCAGTGGTTAAAATTTTGCTTTCAAGAGGTTAATGCACTTCTTATGCAGCTATTACTCATCTTCCAGTGGATGCTTGTGTGTTGTTATGATGCTGAATAAGTGGAGCTTCGAGACTAAGGAAGACTAGGAAGAAAGACCTGATAATCTGTGTCTGAATGTGCCAATGAAAACTGTATGGATTACAACATTTCTATCTGCAACAAATTATAGAAATGGTACAAGATGATAAAGCATTTTGTTTCATCTGACCTAGGGTCAGATGAGGGCCAACGTCATGGCAGCTAACAACAACTATCATATTCAGGTATAACAGAGATCCAAAATAACAATGACTCCTACAATCAGGAGAGGATAAAATAGATGAGTGGGACCTTCCAAGAATCAAATATCTGTGCACATCCAAACACTTCTCCAACAGCGTAAAAAGGGAAGCCACAGACTGGGAAAAACGATTTGGTATTGACATGTCTGATGAGGGACTTATATCTAGAATTTATCGAATACTCGAGTGCCACAACAAGGCAAACAACCCAGGATATGAACAGATATTTCACCAAAGACATTCTGATGGCAAATAAACACATGAAGAAATGTTCAAAATCCATAGCCCTAGGAGAGATGCAAATCAAAACAACTATGATAGATCATCTCACCCCAGTAACAATAGCAAAATTCAACAGAACAGCAAATAACAAATGCTGGTGAGGTGGTAGAGAAACTGGAACCCTTTTTCTCTGCCGGTTTGAGTGTAATATAGTGCAATCACTATGGAAGGCAGTATGACACTTTCTAAAAACGTTGGAAATAGAAATGGCATTTGATCCAGCAATTGCATTACTGGGAATACACACTAAAGAAACCAGAACTGCCGCCCAAGCAGATATATGCACACCCATGTTTATTGCTGCTTTGTTCAAAATAGAAAAGAGTTGGAAATAACTCAAGTGCCTATCAACAAAAGAATGGATAGAGACGCTATGGTATAGTCGCACAGTGGAATATTATGCAGCACTGAAAAATAAGAAACTCATGAAATATTATACAAAATGGGTGACCCTGGAGTTCATTATGTTGAGTGAAATATCTCAGTCACAGAAGGACAAATACTGCATAGTGCCACTGTTGTAAAGTGTGTCTGACATCTGGGTTGGGGGGGAAACCTAAGAAAAGAGTGGATAAATAATGTATACTACATTGAAACAGATGAGGGAGATAACTGCTTAAATCGAATATATAATTAGGCATTATTTCATGACAAGAGTCCAGAATCAGAACTGCACGGTGGAGGGGACTAGGTGTGTGTGTGGTGGGGGGGGGGGGAATTGTATAATAAAGACAGATTTTTTTTTAACTTTTCAAAGAGAAAAACGGCTGGGTGGGCATGGAGCGAAATGTACAACAATGAATGAATGGAAAGCCAAAGTCTCTATAATCTTTCATTAAAATCTCAATTAAAAAATAGAAAGTAAGCAGGTGGGCAAGTGCGATTTAGCAATCTATGGGGAATTGAGATTTGTTTTATTTATAGTGTATATATTCCTCTTGCATGGTCCTAGTTTTTCTCAGTCTTCAGTCTAGTTGTTGTTAGGTGCCATCGAGTTGACTATGACTCATAGCAACCACATGAACAATGGATCTACCCTGCCCTATCCTGTACCATCCATATCATCTCAACACACTTAAGCCCAACATTACATTCACTGTGTCAATTCATCTTTTTGAGGGTCTTCCTCTCTTTCGTGGACTCTCCATATTTCGCACCAGGATGTCCTTCTCCAAGGACCACCCCGTTCTAACAACATGCTATTAGAAATGTGAGAAAAGTCACACCTTCTACTTCTTAAGAACATTTACTGGAAGTTACGTATAATACTGCTACTTTCATTTTACTTTCCTGAAGATAGTTATGTTAGCTGTCAAGAAAGCTGTTAAATGGAATATCTATTCTAAGTGATTTATATGTTCAGCCCCAAATGTATGGTTACGATGGTAAAGAAGAAAGGAATATCCTTGTGCATCCTGTACTTTGTACTTTATACAATAATTCATATGTTGTTGTTGTTAAATGTTTTCGAGTTGTAGACAACTCATAGTGACCCTATATACAAAACTATGTATAACTTTCATCATTTCTCCAAGTTCATAGAGTTTCTGGAGGCAAGCTATTTTGGAAGTGGTGCCACTCCTGCTTCCAAGCTTGTTTTAATTGAGGAGCTCCACCAAACACTGTCCACCATGGGTAACTATTATCCCATTTGACACATCAGTGTCACAGTGTTTAGCATCACAGCAACCATGAGTTACCTCTGTACAGCAAATGGACAGACCAGTGCTCTACCACTTAAAAGAATGTTTGACCAAAGACAATTAAAACCAAGCCTGAGGGCCGCAGATAAAAATCACCCACCTTTGACTTGGTAGCATAACTTTCTATTCACCAGACCCACAGAGCTCTCTCTATGTTGTTGTTGTTTTTAAGTGCTGTCAAGCTGTAGACAACTCATAGCGACCCTATTAATGAAAGACCTGAACACTTGTATAACTTTCATCTTTTCATCGGATTCTTAATAATTCATATATGTTATATTTATGTAATTATATAGAATAATTCATACATATTATATTTATAAATTTAATGTAAAGAATATATTAAATTTCTATAATTTATTCATGTACTTTTTATTTATGCTATAATTTCATAATATTGATATTATCAATTTCCATTGTTCTATGCCTATGATCATGGATTGCTAAGAGAAAAAACATGTCTGTCACAGAAAGGGTGAAACCCACCTGCTCCATGAAGGCAAGGATTTTGAAGTTCCAGCTCACATACTTTGGGCATGTTGCCAGGAGGGGCCAATTCCTTGAGGATATAATTGCTTGGAAAGGTGGAGGGACAGCACAGGAGAGGA